CGCGGGACGCGGGACTTGCGGGGCTAGCGCCTGCTGGCAGGAAACTTGAGACCACGTTGCACCCTTCTGCGCAAAGAAATCCAAACTCCCATGCCAATATACTGACCAGTGTGTGCTCACACCACTGCCATGGGTTGGATGGGTTCAGAATGGCCCCGCTGTGTGTCATGGCCCTGTACTGCTGAGAGAATCTCCTTCAGCCCAAGCACTGTGGCAGCAGCATCGGTAGTTCTGTTTCCAGTGGAACTGTGAAATTCCCGCTGGCCTGGTTACAGCGCTTTGCCCTTCTGTAGCCCCAGGAGGCAGGGTGGGGCTGCTGGCCCCATTTCACTGATGGGAAAGCTGGGGCACAGGGCGGGAAGTCCCCATCCAAGGTCACACGTGGTATCCGTGACAGACTGCAGCCCTCCCCGCCCCGTGCTCCAGTCACGCTCCGCCCTCCCCCTGTAACACGGAGCTGCTGTGACCCCTTTTCCTTGCTGCAGTCACCGCGCAGTTAGCCGAGCTGCGGAGCTGGGAGAGCTCCCAAGGCACAGGCTAGCGACACTAGGAGAGCGCTCCTTCATCCGACTCGGCGCTCTCTCCGGCGTACCCCCTCCCCCCGCCGCTTGCGTCTGTGTCCCACGGCGGCGGGCATGTTCCCTGTGGCCTGGGAAGCGGTTCTGCCCATCCCTCCTCCCCTTGTGCCACCCCCAGCGTTTTGTCTTCGGTGCCCCCCGAGCCACACGCCGCTCGTGTGCAAAGTTGGGCATGGCCACAGCCCCTGGGGGGGGCATCCGGCGGAATCGTCACCCAGTGCTTTGAAGGCTTGTCACGAGGCCAAGCCACCAGGCAATGCGCCGGCCCCTCCATGCCTGCGCCCCCAAATCACACCCCACTAGCCCGCCCGGGCGGCGAGGACAGGATCCTCTGGCTGTTAATTGAATTACATTGCCTTGGAAAGCCGAGGAGCTGTAGCTCATTAAACCCTCCTGTGTCCCATTAGAGCAGAGTGTGTTGCCTTTGCGGATTGTCATTATCATATATTACTGCGGGACTCGGCAGAGCTGTTTGTTTATGCATTACATTTTTTTCCTGCCTACCCCACCCCCCTGAACCCATTTTTCCAGCATGGTATATGCCACTCTGGGGACCGCGGAGGTGCAGCCTTCCCCGCTCGCGGGATAAATAATGACTTCTGTAGTGAGAGCCAAATTTATTTTCCTAAAGCGAGATGAGCGGCGGCTGGGCCAGTGCCGAGGTTGCTGCGGCGTTAGGTTCTCAGTGACTTGGGGCGGGGGAGTGGCTGAATGGTGTTGCTACGCCCCCGCCATCCTCAGGAGCAGGGAGCGGCCCCTTGGGTAGCCCGGGGGAGCTGCACGCCGCTCGGCTGATGGGTCGGAGCGTTCTCTGGGCCCCACGTCTTGCTGCACGTGCCGTGTGGGTTTGTGGGGCGGGGAGTGGAGAGAAGACGGAGTCACAGCCTGGCCCGGTTGCTGAGCCTCCTTGGTCTCTCCCCTCCCCACTGAAATGCAGCTGGCTCTCGCGGGGCAAGGCTGAGAGTGTGCCCTGACTCTCAGGGTGTGCGGGAGCCTTCCCCAGGCCTCACGGCACCAGGCCATTTCCTAGCAGGAGGCCAACCAGCAGCCCCCCCTCCTCCGGCTGAGTCCCTTGGCGATGCCAGTCGCGTTCGGCCGCCACCTGCCATACCCAGCGCATGGGCGCAGGGCAGGGTTTGCCTTTCCAGTTCTGGGTCTGACCGAGACTGGGAGGTGCTGGAAGGTGGCCAGGGACTGAGTGCCCCCCCAAGCAGGCTTTGAGTGGGCCTGATGAGCCCCCTATTTTCCCCTGTCAGTACGGTCAGCTCCTTTCTCCCAGTGGCCAGGTCCCCTCCCACCTTCCTCTGCTGCTGGGTCGGGGTGCTCGGGAGTAGGGGCCTGCTCTCCCTCACATCCCTCTCAGCACAGAGGACTGGAGGCCCCGTGTGTGGGCACTTGGAAATGCTGGACCAGCGCTCTCCCTGGGGCAGAGGCTCCTCCCCGGCCAAGGTGCGCGCTGGCCAGAGGGGCCTTGTCTTAGCTCTCCACCCCCACCCGGCTGCTACGACGCCACGCCAAAGAACGTCCTGGTGTGTAATCTGCAGCCGGGCTCTGACCGCTCTCCTTGGTTGTTTCTGGGGGCGGGGAAGGCGCTAGCAGCTCAGGCCAGGCTCTAGGTGGAACCTTGCCTGCCTTTGCTTTCCAACTGCCTCTGACTCTTCAGCTCCTCCAGGATCGTTCTGCTTCGCTGGGCCAGCTGAATGGTTTGCAGGGACCTGGGAGCACAGGGGCCCTGCTGGACGGAGCTTAGGAGCCCAGTTTGAAACTCTTGCCCCTTCCCTGCGTGGGGCTGTCGGGGAGGGGAGCGTGCCAAATGGGACTTGCAGCAGAGAGGAGTCCTGCGGGGCCGGGGCTGGGGCAGGTGTTTCAGGCTGAGAGGAGTGGGTGGCAGGTGGTACAGAGATGGCTGGAGGATGGGCAGCTGCACGGCCCCGCTACGGAGGAAGGAAGAGGTGTGGGAACGGGGTAGGGGGGTTGGGCAAGTCCTGTAGGGCCAGGGCAGCCCCCTCTGGACCCCCTGGCAGCCCCCTG